TGTAAAGCAGACAGCCCTCCCTAATGTGGGGAAGCCTCAGCCAATCAGCTGAAGGCTCCGGTAGAACAAAAGGCTGCTTTCTCTCAAGCATGAGAGAGCCCTGCCTGACATCCTTCAATGAGACTGGAATAATGGCTCTCCCAGTTTTCTGACCTTCAGAACCCACGATGGGTCGGGATGTTGGGACTCACTAGCATTCACAATCTTTTGTGAGACAGTTCCTTATAACAGGTACACACACCTGTTATCATGCAGAACTCTCCAGATTGCTCTTGAAACTACAGCAGAATTTTCCCACCAGGTCATATCTAGACAGAGCCTGCATTTTCTGTTATTTGTGTCTGAATGGCAAATACATGGAGAGTTCCAATGGACAGTTTTCTAGTGACTTCTTTTCCTCTTCTGACCTGCAGCCTTGGGGGTTGTTTTGTGATGATGATGATTACTGTTACTGTTGAGACAGGACCGTGTCTTGTAACCCAGGCTGGCCTGAAACTTGCAGTTTTACCTGAGCTTCCTGAGTTGTAGATTTGTAACATCCTGCTTAGCTCTATTTAGTGGTGAAGAATTTACATAGAAGAGGAATCTTCTGGTACCTAGTAATCCTAGAGGGGTGGGGTGGGAAAAGGTACTGAGGTTTGTTTCCTTGGGCAATTGGCTCACCGGATTTTACAGAATTTCATCTTCTAATCATGTCCTTAGATTGTGTCAAATGAAGGCCACTGCATACAAAAGGATGGCAGGTAAGAAAAGCCTCATGGGCTGGGCATAGAGGCACATGCCTTGAATTCTAGTGCTCAGGAGGCAAAGGTAGAGGCTGTCAGATCTCTTGGAGTTTGAGTCCAGCCTGGTCTACTTAGTGAGTTCTAGGCCAGCTAGAGCTACAAAGAAAAAAAGAAAAGAAAACCCTCAGATAGAGTGGGGCAGTGCCCCAAAGAAGCAAGACAGACCACGTAACGAATGAAGTTAATTTGGAGACAATGCACACACCCATAATTTTAGCATTCAGGAAGCTGAGGCAAGAGGATTGCTTGGAGTTTGAGGCCAATTTGGGCTGTATATAGTGAGTTCTAAGCCAAATTGTGCTACAGATTGAGACTCTGACTCAAATAACAGCAAAACAGGGAGGGAAATTTAAGGATGAGGGATCCAATTGCACCTTGCCAGTCACTTATGGAAGCCTTGTGGAACAATCCTGGATACTTAGTAAAGATAAAGAACAAATCTTCACTCAGATGCTGATGACCCCAATTGGCTGTCCTGTGACTTATTCTCCCTTGTTTATTTAGTCACCTGCCCTCCTGTTCAAAGAACAAAGCCAGGGCAGCCCTGTTCTCAGCCATTCATTGGGGTTTTCAGAATACACTGTAGAGAATTCTTGTGTTTTCTTATTGGCCAAAGATTAGCTGAGTGGTTGGAGGGGGGCTTTATTCTAAATAATGTATCTCTATAAATAGAAAGTCTTTATTTTAAACAATGTATCTTGTCTTCATCATCCCCACTCACCTCTACTCCTCCCACGTACCCCAATACATCCCCCTCTCTACTTCTTATGTCTTCTTTCTCTCTCTTTTTCCTTTGAAAACCCAGTGAGTTCAATTACTACTGCCTGATTGATGTAGTTAGCTTGATCTTGTGAAGGTAGCTTCAGTGAGTTCAAGGGTGCACTGCCTTGGTCCTGTCCAGAAGATGGCATTTCACAGCACTCTTCTCAATCCTCCAGCTCTTGTATTCTTTCTGATCCTTCTTCTTTGATATTCACTGAGCCTTTCATCAGGGCAGGTGGTAGTAGTGGCTGATACAGATGTCCTATTTGGGGCTGAGCCCTCAATAATCACTTATCTCAGGAGTTTGGCAGTTATAGGTCTGCATTAACTGTTAACCACTGCAGAGACAAGCTTCTCTGATCCATGTTAAAGGCAACAGTAATCTATGTGTCTGAACAAAAATACTCAGAAGGCAGCTTGGCAGCATGTCTATTTAGTGAGATAACTGTAGTAGGTTCCCCATTAGGGACTATGGTCTTCCCAGCCACGGACTTTTGACTAAGTTTGCAGTATCAAGCATGAAATTCCTCCTGTGGAACAGGCTTCAAATCCAAGCCCAAAGTAGTTGGTTACTCTCATAACCTTTGCACCATTATTACACCAGTGGCTATATCTTGATTGGCATTCCAGAATTGTGGCATGTAGGGTTTGCTGGTGAACAATACTGCTGATGGCTTTTCTCCCTCATCTGTCTGCATAGCATTATCTGGCACTATGAAAGCTATTTACTATGAAAACTATCCACTGTGAAAGCTATCATGTCAATTTCAGCTTGATTTCTCTATGTCCTGCAACTAAAGTATGTTGTATTTTCAGCAACAGAGTCTTATTATAAAGTTCTTGTGGACAACCAAGAGCAGTGGCAATAGTCTCTGTTGATTTAGGGGCTCCTGGGGTTCCCTGACAAATGAGTTACAGGGAAGTATTACACACCCAGAACTGAGATTTTCATTTAATCACTTGTGTATACTGGTGGCACACACCTTTAATCCCAGCACTCGGGAGGCAGAGGCAGGCGGATCTCTGTGAGTTCGAGGCCAGCCTAGTCTCCAGAGCGAGTGCCAGGATAGGCTCCAAAGCTACACAGAGAAACCCTGTCTCGAAAAACAAAAAAACAAACAAACAAAACTCTTTTAAATATATATATATATACAACAAAGGCATCAGATCCCCTTGGACTAAGTTACAGATGTTTGTGACCCACCATGTGTACTCTGGGAACCAAACCTGGTTTCTTTGCAAGAGCTCTTGACCATGAAGCCACCTTTTCAGCCCCTCTACTCAATGGTTTAAAAGCCTTGCTGCAAAGGATCCATTTGAGTTCCCGGTACCCATATGGTGACTCACAACCATCTCTAACTCCAGTTTAGGTTCAGAGAACTGATCCCCTCTTCTGAACTCCCAGAGTACCAGACATGCACATTGCACACACACATATATGCAAGCAGGTAAAACACTGACGCACATAAAAAAATAAAACCTAAAAAATCATATTTTAATTAGCTTACAAAGTGTTCGATTTCCATATACTATTAGCTTTGCTACTCTTACCCCTTCCTCTCCTGTCTCCAAACTGCTATCCCTGCTTAAATCTTTAATCCCCAGTATTCCCTCCTCCTATTTTCATACATGTTCTAATATCCATTGCCTCATGGGCCCTGTCTAGCTTCCTGAACTCTACAAATTAAGCACACAAATCTAAAAATTCAAAGCTAGTATTTGCATGAGGTGAACATGGTCGTTTGTCATTCTAGGCCTGGGTTGTCTCATTTAATATAGTATTTTACAGTTCAATCCATTCTCTTGCAAATTTCACTTTTCTTTATAGCTGCTATTTTGTCAAATATTTAAGTAGCAACATTGGCTTGTTTACTGGGACCATTTGCTTGGAATACCATTTTTCCACCCTTTCACCCAAATGTAATATAGCGAGGTGTGTTTCTTGGAGGCTTCTGTTTTTTTGATCCAATCTACTAGTCTATGCTTTTTGAGGAAGTGATAATATTCACAATTATCACTGAAGGTTGTGTGCTGATTCCTGGTTTATTGTTGATTTGGTTGTAGTGTCTGTTCCTTCCTTTTCTTCTATTGCTTATTATTATTCTAGTATGACTTATTCTTTCCTGTGGCCTCATCGTGGATGGATTTGTTTTTCTTCTTGAAGGATTCTTTCAACTATTTTGTGCAGAGCTGGCTTAGTAATCACAAATTCCTTTAGTCTATTTTTATACTGGAAAGTTTTTATTGTCCTTTAATTCTGACAGATAACATAGTATTCTGGGTTGGTAGCTGCTATCTTTCAGAACTTGGAATACATCACTCCAAGCAACTTCTTGCTTTTAGTGTTTCAGATGAATAATTTCATGTTATCCAGAAGGACCTGCCTTTACATGTGAGTTGATGTTTCTTTATGCTTTCAGCATGCTTTCTTTGTTCTGTATATTTAGTGTTTTAATTATGATCTGACAAGAGGAGATTCTTTTCTGGTCTTGTCTTGTGTGTTGCCTCATGTATCTGATTGACATCTAAATCCGGGAAGTTTTCTATTATTATTCTTTTGGGGGGGGGGTTCGAGTCAGGGTTTCACTACAGTAGCCCTAAACTGGTAGATGTCTAATGCCTTTCCCCTGCACCCCAGAATCTGATGTTGAAATGTTAAATCCAATACAGGAAGATTCTGAAAGAAAATGGAGTTTGGTTGAAAGGCTATCTGATCTTACTTTCCTTCAGTCTGAGTTCATGGTGTTTTTCTACATCAACTAGAAAAATAAATCTAAAAATACTGGTGAGAACTAATTTTATAATGCTTTTATTATTCGTTTTAAAGATGGGATCTTATACTATGTTGCCCAAGCTGTCCATGCATGTTAATCCTCCTGCCTCAGCCAGCTAGGTACTATAATTCTAGGCATATGCACCACAAGTGTCTTTGAGAATTATTTTATTTGTACTTTTTTTTTTTTTTTTTTTTTTTTTTTTTTTTGTTTTTTTTTTTTTTTTTTTTTTTTTTTTTTTTTTTTTTGGTTTCTTGAGGCAGGGTTTCTCTGTGGTATTGGAGGCTGTCCTGGAACTAGCTCTTGTAAACCAGGCTGGTCTCGAACTGCCTGCCTTTGCCTCCCTCGTGCTGGGGTTAAAGTTGTGTGCCACCACCGCCCAGCCTTATTTGTATTTTTGTTATTTTACTTATTTACTTTGCATGTGTGAGAGCAAGAGTGTGCCATGGTGAGTGTGTGTAAGTCACAGGACAAGCCTGTGTGAGCCAGTTCTCCCAACACGTGGGCTCCAGGGACTGAACTCAGGTTTTCTGGCTGGGTGGAAAATACCTTTATGCACTAAGCCACCTTGCTAGCCCTGAGGATTATTTTCAAACACAAATGCTAAAGCAAGGATGTGCATCAGTAGCAATGTGCTTGCCCTGAATTTAATCCCCAACACCACAAACACAAACAAACACACAGGTACTAATTTTTAATCTTTCCCATAAACTCATGCCACAGTTGGGGGATGAGGTGATCACTGGAAGCTCTAACTGCACTACATGGGCCAACAGTAAGTCAGAGACAACATCCAAGAGCAACCAAAATGCACATGGGTCCCAGGCAGCCTTTCCCAAGTCCCAATGGGCCTCCTTTCTGAGCAGCTGGCAAGTAGTAGTTCAGATGTTCTTAACAGGGTTTTTATGTTGGTGGGCAACCAACAGCAAGAGGTGGAAAGACTCAGAGGCCTGGCTGGAAAACAGAACTAGCAGCATGTCCAGCCAGAGGAGGACTTGGCTTGGAGATTGATGTAGTTCCCTTGGGTAGACAAAGATATTATATCTTCTCTGGAATTGTTCATCATCTTTTCAACGAGGACTCTTTTAAAAAAAGAAAACAAGAAAAGTAAGCCTGAGAAGGTAGATAGAGAAAAAGGAGATGCAGCCGGCATTGTCTTATCACCAGGCAGAACTCCAGAAGGACACTAGGTTTAAGTACCCCTTTGTCCTCAATTATCTTAGGGACGCTGGCATTCCAGTGGCTTAATCTGTACTTGTTTGCTCAGGAATCAGAAAAGAGGGTCACAGTCTGTGTGCCTGTCCCCAGAGCACTAAGAGCCACTCACCTCATGGCCTCATTAATATTTCTGTTCTCCTTGACTGATGTTTCCGTCCAGCCTATGAAACCGTTCTCTTTACTGAACCGGTCAATCTGGTCCCGGCTCACTGCCCAAGGGGACAGATCACTCTTACAAAGAAAATACATAAGTCAATACCATAATCTTCATAGGAATCTGTACATTTAAACCATTTTTAAACAGTGACTGAGACCACCAACATCTAAAATCTGCAGTCAAGAGTCTTCCTTTAAAACAAAGGAATGTTGAGTTGACTTAGCAGCTAGAGCACTGGCCCCTCTTCTAGAGAACCCAGGTTCAATTCCCAGCACCCACATGCCAGCTCACAATGTTCTGTAACTCCAGATCCAAGGAGCCTGACACCCTCTTCTGGCCTCCTTGGACACCAGGAACACACTTGGTGTATAAACATACATGCAGGCAAAACATACTCCACACAAAATATAAGAGAGAAAAAACAAACAAACAGAAAGTAATTTTCTCAATATCTCTTCAAAAGAAATATCTCTGCCAATTTGAAAGGGATAAACAGGCATGCTAGTGGCCAGGCATAGTGGCAATAATTATATTATTTGGGCAACAGAAACATAACTGTTAGTTTTAGGTCTTCCTTGGCTATACAGATTCTAGCTTAAAAAACAAACAAACAAAAAAAGAAACAGGGTGTGCATGTTCAGAAACGCAGAGTCTTTTAAATACCTTTACTCTAGCCACTGATAGATGCCAGGGGCCATTTACTTAAACTGGCCACACACCTTGTTGGCCAAGAGCAGGCAGGGCACTGGATCTCCACTGGGTAATGTGAGCTTGCTGTCCAGATCCTGTTTCCATCTTTGGCTGTTGCTGAAAGTAGTGGCATTGGTGACGTCGAACATAATAACACAGGCAGAAGCATCTCGATAGTATAGTCTTGTCATAGAGGTGAACCGCTCCTGCCCTGGAGAGAAGAGAAGGCTCTCAAAAGGTGAGTCTGGACTGATCACCCTCTCCGAATTCCCTCTACTCTCCCTTCACTGTAGGCCAGGGCATCTTTGTATACAGTAGAGAGGGCTCCTTACTTCTCCCTTCTGACTATCCCACTAAGGGATTATTAAGCTCAATCACTTCTACTGCAGATTCTGTATCCAAACTGCAGTGTCCACATCCCTGTCTGCTATTTACTGTGTGACTTTATGAAAATCAGGCTGAGCACCTCAGATCTGTCCTGTGTCTAGTATGATGAAAAGCTTTCATGACAAGGTTAGTGAACCAGTCAATTTGAAATACTTTGAAGAACAGCATATAATAAGGATTCGCCATAGTCATTGTCTTATTTTCTGGGGATCTTATTTCTCACTAAAGTCAGCTGAAGATCTAGAGCCCACCCTCCTACTAGGGACCATCCACCTATGGGTGGCCACCTACGCAGCATCTCCACCCACACAGAGATGGCATCATATCTCTTTGTCTTTGGGACAGTACACCTCCAAAATCATCTCAAAAGCTCAGAGCAGCTCAAACTTGCAGCTTCAGGGGAAAAAAAAAGATACTGATTTTGCCATCCCTTTTCCACACTACCCACCCCAGGCAGCTTGCTGGTTAAATAATTTCTTCCCTTGTTCCCATCTCGTCTTTCCTTTTTACCTGCAATATCCCACAGTTGAAGGCGCACCATCTCTGAGTCAGACCACTGGAGAACCTTCAGAGCAAAGTCCACTGAAAATAGATGTTTATTATACTTTAATAAAACCTGCCTTTAAAACAAATCGAGGGATGGGCCAGTGAGAAGGTTCTGTGGGTAAGCCAAAGGTACTTTTTGCTAAGCTTCTCAACTCAAGTTCAGTACCCATAACCTAAACCCTACAAACTATCCTCTGACTTCGACAAGGATATCATTATGCATACATACATATACACAAAATAAAAAAAAATTAAAACAGGGATAAGCCCAGGGCAGCGGTTGCGGGGGAGGGGGCACGCCTTTAATCCCAGCACTCGGGAGGCAGAGGCAGGCAGATCTCTGAGTTTGAGACCAGCCCGGTCTACAATAGGGAGTTCCAGGACAGCCTCCAAAGCCACAGAGAAACCCTGTCTCAAAAAAACAAAAACAAAAAAAAAACAAAAACAAAACCCAAAAAACAAAAATAAAAAACCAGGGATAAGCTCAGATTAAATACACAATGACAACCCCTGGATCTTGAAACTCCGATTAAGTTTAAGCCTTCAAAGATGGAAATGAGTCAATAAGAGAACAACATATAATTCATAGCCATTTAGTGTTTTTCCCTCTGTCATCAGATCAAATTATTTGATACTCATTATCTCCATGACTAGGAACAGGCAAGTGGGAATGATTATGGAAATAATTCCTATTTGAGGGTTAAATGACTTTTGGGAGTTTTTAGGGGGTTTTCTCAAGGGAAAGATTGCTAGGGGAAATGAAGGAAATGAAGTTAAAGTGTGGTCAGCTTTGTATCTTCCACATTCAACTTCACTTTTGGCGTCTAATCAAATAGTGTGATGAGAAAACACAACAAAACTCTCTATATCCTCCATAAGTGTTCAGTAATTACGTGAGGCAGGAAAGGGATAATTGAAATGGTTCCAGAGGATGACGTTTAAGAGCTGTGCTGGAATCTGCCATGGGGTCTGGAGATGCTAAAACTCCATGAACTTAGGCTGGACAACTAACTATTCCAGGGGAACATCCCAAAGTTGTGTAGTGCAGGTTAGCACAAATCTGAGGTCTTCCTGCCCCCACCTCCTGAGTGTGGAATTAAAGGTACAGGAAACCGTACTGTGCAGGAAAAGCTATATGTCAAGGAGAGAAACAGTAATTTCAGTTTGGAAACATATTCTTCTACATCTGTGGCAGAAGTAAAAACTAGGGAGAATTTATAACAAACACTGGGAAACAAACAAATCCAAACTTGCCAGAATCAATTATATTCATGCTGTAGGAAAACTAAGAATTAATTCACAGAACACTTTTAACCCAAATCCTTGAAACAGTGACTCATATTTAGGAGTGATGAGCAAAGTAGTCAGGAACACAGTCTTTGAAATGCTAAGGAAGCCCTTAGTTTTGCCAGATTCTTTTGAAAAACCGATGTTTTATAGTGTGTGTCTGTACATGCTCATGCCACAGTGCTCCCATAGAGGTCAGAGGACAACTGTTGGGAGTCTCTTCTCTGTCCATCTTGTGGGGTTGGGGACCCCAGTTCAGGCTTGCCATAAAGCACCGTTACCCAGTGTGCCATCTCTCCCATCCTTTGCCAAATACTCTTTAAAGTTTTCATTTCAAAGTAAATAGTTAATTTAAAACAACTTTCATATGAACACCGGCACATGCTTTCAAAATCTATGTTGGTACGAGTTTTTTTTTTTAACGTTTTGTTTGTTTGTTTGTTTGTTTGTTTGGTATCAGTGCTCTGTCTGCATGTATGCCTACATGCCAGAAGAGGGTAACAGATCTTATTACAGATGGTTGTGAGCCACCATGTGGTTGCTGGGAATAGAACTCAGGACCTCTGGATGAGCAGCCAGTGCTTTTAACCTCTGAATCATCCCTTCAGCTCCGGTACAAGTTTTAAATAAATTTTTTTGTTTGTTTGTTTTGTTTTGTTTTTCAAGACAGGGTTTCTCTGTGGCTTTGGAGGCTGTCCTGGAACTAGCTCTTGTAGACCAGGCTGGTGTCGAACTCACAGAGATCTCCCTGCCTCTGCCTCCCAAGTGCTGGGATTAAAGGCGTGCGCCACCCCCCCAGCTAAATAAATTTTTTTTTTATTTTAGGTTACTCTTTCATATCACCACATCGTTAACTTCTACTTGCGGTTTTGTGTGTGTGTGTGTGTGTGTGTGTGTGTGTGTGTGTGTGTGTGTGTGTGTGTGTGTGTGTGTGTGTGCCCTTAAGTTCAAAGGCCACACTAGGAAAGAAATTAATTAACTTCTGGTGTTTCTTTCTCTCCTCCTCCCTCCCTTCCCCAGCGTGAGAGAACAGTGGGAAGATTGGCCACTCGGAGCGTACTCACTTTCTTTCTTGAATTCCTCACACTTCCCACGAAGCCCACGAATTATCTTTATTAAAGCAACCCACAGGGCTCATCAGTCCTGACCAGAATCTGTCTCCCAATCTTCCCCACATCCGGTCCTTCTGGCTGCTTAGCTCCTGGGCTTTCCTCCTCAGCTCAAGTCGATTCCTTCCTCAACACCTGTCTCATGTTGGTGAGAAACGGGGCAACCCTCCTCAGCTTGCACTTGAAGGGAGCTCAGCTGCCTCTGCTGATTGCAGAAGTTGCTCAGGGCAGTGCATGGTTGCGGGAGGGTTCTGCTTGCTGGCTGCTGTGAACAGCCCTACTCAGACCCCTCCACCTTCTCCATTTCCCGATCTTCGCAGGCAGTTGGCACAGGTTGGGAACCTCCCCCCCAAGAGACGACCCCAGTACCCTCCGGCTGCAAGCCCGGAAGCCTGCTCTCAGCCGCCGGCGGCCTCTCACCTCCCACGGTGGACTTGTAGTGCTTGCTGAAGCTGTCCTGGGAGTAGCGCTGGACCAGTGACGTCTTGCCCACAGCGGCGTCCCCCACCACCAGCACTTTGAACAAGTGATCGCGGCTGCCCATGACAAGCAGTGGGGAGAGGTGGTTTTTTTAAAAAAAATTTTTTTTTCGGGAAGTTGCTTATTTTAACCCCTTGGGCTCTCGGGTTTTCTCCCGACTGAAGTCATGCATCCCCACCCTCGGTTAGCTGAAGCTGCTCTGACGGGAAAGCAGAAAAGGAAACTTTTGCACTCGGCCTCTGCGCGCTTCCTCCCCGCGCGGCCGCAGCCAGGGTGGGGCAGGTACGAGCTCGACCCCCTGCGGTTGGCACCTTCCAGTCAGGGACCTCCAAGCAGCTCGCCAGAGCGTGAACCCTACTGGCACCTTGCTCCGCTAGGTACAGAGGAGCTGGCCCCTTTTCCAACCGCACAAAATTTGGGGTGTGCAGAGTCGTTGTCCGGTCCCTGTCCTGCCACTGGCGGCGTATTTCCCGTCGTGAGCCCCGCTGCTCGAAGCACTACATTTCCCAGTGTACTTCTTGATGAAACGACCGGGTGAGTGTGGAGAGTTGCCGAGTGGATTTCTGGGAAATGTAGTTTCCTAACTATCTTGCGCGAACCCAACAAAGTTGCAAGGTTTTCAACCTTTCAGAAATCTATTTTAAAAGAATTCTAAAATTCGGTGTGGTGGCACAGGCTCGTAATTCTTGTATTGGGGAGATGGAGACAGGAAGATCATCAAACCCAAGGTTTTCTGCAACATAGTATGTTCAAGGATCCCTCCCTCCACTCCTTCCAACATGGGGTTTGAAGCAACTTCGGGGACCAGCCTGAACTACATAGGCTATGATCTCTTCAGTCTAAATCTGCTTTTTTTTTTTTAATCCCATTTTAAGGGCTTCCATATGGTTTAATCACATTTTTAAAGGTTTTATGACACTAAGATAAACTACTCCATTAATGGTATCATCCCTTATGTTCCAAGTGGATTCTGCTTCCTGTTGTCCTAACTACCCAGTCAAATCTCTAACCATGTAAATTCGATAACATGTTTTCCATATAACCAATAACTGGCAAATTCAGGAACATTTGACTCAAGAGATCAATCCTTAGAAAAATCCGCCAAAAGTCACAAAGAAAAAAACCTTAAAACTAGCTATAGCAATAGCAATACAGAATAAACATAGAGACAGTTCCTCATTCACACTTCCACGTTTCTTACACCAGCCACGAATATCACTTCAGCACCAGGCCATTTCCTTTTGTTGCTGCTATTGTTTCTGAATAATCATAAAGTGACTGGAAAATATTTTTAATGTCCTCACCTCTAATTTTTGTGTCCTGTCTGACCTTTAGATAGGAGTTGTGGTTGGTAGGATAAGCTCCACTTTTTTTTTTTTTTTTTTGAGATAGGGTTTTCTGTAGGTTAAGTTAGCTTCAGCGACCTACATGTGACCTCGAACTTGTGATTCTTCTGTATCCACACCCAATTTTGTAGTTTTGGGAATTAAATTCAGGCACAAACCCCATCCTCTTCTTTCTTTTTTTTCTTTTGTAGCCAAGCCCAGTGTTGGTGGCGCACGCCTTTAATTCCTGCACTTGGGCAGGCGGATCTCTGTGAGTTCGAGGCCGGCTTTACAGAGCGAGTGCCATGATAGGCTCCAAAGCTACACAGAGAAACCCTGTCTTGAGAAACAAAAACAAAAAACAAAACAAACAAAAAAAAGAATCTATGTAGCCAAGCCTGAATTTGAATTCCTGATCCACTTGCTTCTGTCTCTGCTTCTACCACTTCTGCAGGAGTACATGCACACCATGTCCAATGTGGGGTGGGGGAGGCAGGTCTCTTCCATTACTCCCTCCCTTCCCCTTTCCTTGTAAAAAATAAAAACTTAAAGTATACAAAGTAACACCTTCCATTGCAACATTTCCATGCACGTTGGCATTCTCTGTTCATCCAGGAGCTTGCCTGTCCTCTCTCTTCCACTCACCATTAAGGATTTCATTTTGGGGGCTGGAGAAATAGCCCAGAGGTTAAGAGCACCCTCTGTTCTTCCAGATGTCCTGAGTTCAATTCCCAGCAACCATATGATGGTTCATAACCAACTATGATGAGATCTGATGCCCTCTTCTTGCATATAGGCATACAGGCAGACAGAACACTATACATAATATTAAAAAAAAATTGCCGGGCAGTGGAGGCGGTGTCCCATGCCTTTAATCCCAGCACTCGGGAGGCAGAGGCAGGTGGATCTCTGTGAGTTTGAGACCAGCCCGGTCTACAAGAGTTAGTTCCAGGACAGCCTCCAAAGCCACAGAGAAAACCTGCCTTGAAACACCCCCCCCCAAATTTTTTTTTGTTTGTTTTTGTTTTTGAGACAGGGCTTCTTTGTGTAGCTTTGGAGCCTATCCTGGGACTTGCTCTGGAGACCAGGCTGGCCTTGAACTCGCAGAGATCCACCTGCCTCTGGCCTCCAGAGTGCTGGGACTAAAGGCGTGCACCACCAACACCTGGCTAAAATTTTAAAAAATAAAAGGATTGCATTTTTGCGGGGGGGGGGGGTGGTGGTGGTGGTGTCCCAGCACTTTGGAGGCAGAGGCAGGCAGATCTCTGTGAGTTCAAGACCAGACTGGTGTCCAGAGTGAGTTCCAGGACAGGCTCCAAAGCTACACAGAGAAACCCTGTCTCAAAAAAACAAAACAAAAAGATTGCATTATTGCTTTGACATAGTTCAATGCTCTTTGGCATTTATTCCCATGTGACTTCTGTGATGCTGTTCCCTCTTTTTTTTGCTCCTAGGGTACTTTTTAAAATTTCTTCTCAGCCGGGCGTTGGTGGCGCTCGCCTTTAATCCCAGCACTCAGGAGACAGAGGCAGGTGGATCTCTGTGAGTTTGAGGCCAGGCTGGTCTATAGAAAGAGTTTCAGGACAGCCAGGGTTATACAGAGAAACTCTATTTTGAACCCTTCCCCCCTAAAAAAAGAAAGTTTCAAACTTTAGCATGCATAAGAATCATCTTGGGTCTTTGGTAAGAAGGTCTCTAACTCTGTAAGTACCTATGTGATTCCCAGACCAGATTCTAAATTGAGGAATGTTGCTCGAAAGCCTATTGAAAAATCAACTCATTACAAACTTTTCCCTTCTTAGGGAAGCCCTTATTTTCTACTTATGTCATTGCCATTCAGTTTGACTTTTGGTTACGTAATTATGTGACAACTGGGGTGGAGAAATGACTCAGCAGTCGAGAGTACCTGGTTGCTCTTCCAGAGGACCCAGGTTTAAGTCCCAGCACCTACATTGGTGGCTCACAACCACCTGTAATGCAGGTTTTGCAGCACACTGTATGCAGGTGTTGCACATACATGCAGGCAAAACACCCATATACATAAAAATAATAAGGTTTTGAAGAATATATACTTTTGAAATTATGTGATAGTGGTGTGCATGGTGACCATTGCTGCTTGGCAAACTCCCAGCATTTCTACTTTTCAGATCACAATTCTCCAGTAGACTTTACTTTGACTTTCATTTTTAATGATTCTCACTATGTGTTATGAAGTTCCCTTATGCCTTTTCCTCTGGGAAATTTTGTTCGGGCTTTAAAGGATGAAAATCTATAAAATGGCAGCCTCCTTAAACAAAATAATTCTTTGGAAAAAATCCCCATGGAACCATATATCATGATAACTCTGCCTACTCCCATACAAGTTAACATCAAGCTGTTAGAAAATTTAGATAAGTAACATTTGCCTAATAAATAAGGTATGTTAGATAAATAAGATTTGTTTGATAAATAAGGTATATTTGATAATCAAGATTTATAAATTCCTAAGGTCTAATTGAGTTCACAGTAATATTTGTCTACCTTTGTCTTTGCTCAACCTTAAGCTTTAGCAATTTGGATAAACCAAGCCATACAAAAAAACAGCAATATTCTATAATGGAGTGTCTGATCTCCCAAGCAAGCTTCTTTCAAGTTTAGAGATTTAGACAAAAGTTCTTATTCTCTCAGGTACTTGAAGAAAGTTCCTGCTTGCTAAAAAAGGAGTCATTCTTATCTCTGGCAAGGGGAACTTGTGGCCCTTTCATTAACATATGACTGGTGCCTATTACTGTGTTAAGGTCAATGTTAGCTTCCTCAATCCCTGATCTCAAACCACACCCCAGCTCATATGCCTCTTTTCTCCCACTTAATCTAAAGTGCAACTATAGAGTATAAAAGGGTATTCTTTCTTTTTGTTTTTTTTTGTGTTTTTGAGTCAGGGTTTCTCTGTGTAACTGCCTTGGCTGGCCTGGAACTCTCTTTGTAGACCAGGCTGGCCTTGAACTCACAGCATTCTTTTTTCAATAAACAGGCAGTCATCATCCCAATTTACCCTCAGATTGTATCATATGGGTCTCCTCCCACCCCCTTTGGGGCCTGAACCCTGTCTCTGGCATGATAGTTTATAGTCATTTGACTTACAGAATGTTATAAAGTGTATGAGAACTTCAGAGGTTTGTGTTCTGCCCAGATTCTTAAATCAGAAGGGGGGCGGGGCGTCAAGACTTAAGAGGGGAGATGCACAAGTCTGCTGCTCCTCAAAGTCACAGAATTCCTGCCAGAGGAGTAATCATAGGCCAGGCTTGACAGCACAGGCCTGTAATCTCAGCACTTTGGGAGGCAAAAGCAGGAGAATCAGAAGTCAAACATTCATTCCAGGCTGCGGGGATGGCTCAGTGGTTAAGAGCACAGCACCTCCTACACTCACAGAGGACCCAAGTTTAGTTCCCAGCACCCCACTACAGCTTACAACCTCACTACCATTTGTAACTCTTTCCAGCGATCCAACGGCCTTTTCTGATGAGATCAGATGTTTTTATGGTGGTATTGCTATAGACTCTGATGCCCTCTTCTGGTCTTTTCTGACACCAGACACACATATGGCTCACATACAGGCAAAACACTCACATGTATTAAAAATAAATAATAAATAAATAATAAATAAATAAGGTCAGAAATTCTGTTAGGCAGTGGTGGCACACACCTTTAATCCCAGCACTTGGGGGACAGAGACAGGTGGATCTCCCTGAGTTCGGGCCTCAGACATCTTGTCTCAAGAAAACCAAAACCAATAATGAAAAGAGAAAAGA